ACTACTATTTGAAAATAAGGGCTTGATGTAATAAAGTGATCTCACCTGCAAACCTTGATGCTTTTGAAAAGTTTCTGAAGGGCCTTCATTAAAGCTTCTCGAGTCTCTTCTGGCATTGGCGTCCTTGAGGATGCCCCATTTGGAGTTTTCAGAGCTACTCTACTGGAACTCATTGATGTGGCCGGATTGTTTATGACATTAGACTTTGAATAAGTCTTTGCACCAGGTCCACTTCTTCCTCCAAAAAGAAGATCATTTATCTTCTTTTCCAAGGATTCCCATTCTTCTTCTTGTTGCTTTGCAACAGTAGGATTGAGTTTTAAGAATCTCCGATCAGGAAGCTCTCTGAGTTTCCAATCACTAAAGGAGGGTCTCTCAACAGCCAATACATTTAGGACATCTTTCATTGCTTTAGCAAGTTGAGGACGTTGAGGTATTTGTGAGTTGTTAACTAGTGGATTCTTGCTAAACAAAAGAAGAACATAGTCCCTGGCTAAAACTTCAATTCCTGAATCTGTTCCATATACCAGTGAACTCTTTGGAACCCACAGTCCTTGGACTAATCGAGCATATTCCTGCAGGACTTCCAAAACTTCTTCAACAGACTCATCTGGAGCTAGGTGCTTTAGAGCATCATATCGATGAATTGGAGAACCCTGTTCCATCAACTTCATGCATCAATATCAATACCAAGAAAATTCTGAAATTGCTGTTTAATCCATGTTATACATGTAAGGAATGACCAAAAGGATAGAATACAGCTTTGAGATCAAAGTAAGTAGCAACAGACCTCAAGAAGCCAAGTTCTGCATCGTTCTTTTAGTGGCAAAGTCATCAAAAACCTGAAACAACATCACATTACAAAATGAAGATCTATAGCTCATATACAGGTGTTAAGACAATTGCAAGTATCATGCAATGTTTTCCTATGGAAAAGCAAAGTCATGATAACAATTATCCAGATAGGCCATTGTTATGGCAGTAGCAAATGGATAATAAGAGAAATTGACTTCACGAGGATACAAGTTCAACTAAAAAAGTAATTCAAGAAATGAGGTGAAGCAATAAAATGAAAATGTCCATGACTGAGAAATACTATCATACAAGCAACAAAACTACCATATAGTGATATTATCAGTGATAAATTGTGATTCTAGATGTCAATTATCTGTTAAGGGCAAAAGAAATGCTAATGAAAAAACTATTCATGAGAAACTGAATATAAAGTCAACTCAAGTACCCAGAGAATTTTCAAACTTTCTTCTCATCCATACATTCACAAACAGGTTTACTTCGGAATGCTTGTGAATAGTAATAAATCAATCAACAGAAAACAAGAATGTAGCAAATAAATTACTAGAAACAAGATGAAGAACAACAAATCAAATTTTCTAGTGTATCTGAAACAATTCAAAAGATATCTTTTCATTGAAAATGTGTCTCATTAGTGTACAAACAGTATTCATCACCAGCAGATAAATTCTGTCAAACAGGTAGCGAGATACCTTCTTGTAGGAACTTTAGATCTGAAATTCTCACTAGAGGTGCCCGGACACAATCTATTCAGATAATCACGCCTTCAAATTGGAGAGGGGGGGAGGGGGGGAAGAGAATTAATAACAACACATAAGATTCCAATACAGAAAATTCAAAGGAGATTCCATAATCTTTGTAGAAAATTGATGAAAATAGCAGGTATCGGCATCTTAATGCATACGAGCTCATAGAAAAATTAATAGGCGAGCCTTCTTGTGCAGCCATCTTTTGTAGATATCTATCTGCAATGTCACTCCTTGCGTTATGGTATTTGAGAGGAACCCAATGCTACAAAGAAAGAGAAAACAGTGGGGGGTAATTAATATTTAAAATCCATAGTTAAGTCAAACTAGCGGGAATGAAAGGCATTGGTGCTCCATTTCATAGATCTTGGCCTCAGAGATATTGCTTTATGGGGGAAAAATTAAAAAAATAAAAATAAAAATTTGAAACTAGAAATAGCACAATAAAATCATTAGATCCATGTAATTAAAAATTTTGGTGATTGATGAAAAGTTTGCAACAATTGAAGGTTCTTTTACATCCCCCTAAAACATACAAATGGCCACAACATTCTAACAGCATGATAACAAAGAAAATGAGTACAAATTAATTTCACAATATGTCATTAATGCCTAAACTTGGGAAAAGAAAATTATACATGTATTAGACTCTGATACTCCTTCAGGAACTTGATTTCATAACCAAATAACTTGTCAAACATGTAAAGTCATTAAAAAATATATTAAAGAAAAATTAACGGCAGTTAAATCCAAGCATAATTTAACGCATAGTAAGATCAGTAGGTCTGACTGTCACTGCATTGGAAGATATTCCTAGACTTTATAGGTTGTTAGGCCACCACATCGTCATGTATTGGACACAACTGGCTATAACAGACACTGATGTAATGTTCCAATGTATACTCTTCCTTCAGCAAGATATGCTTATAATTCCTCGGAGAAAGACAAAGCTTAGTCTAATTCTGCCTTCTATTGATGGGCTCCTCCCTTCTCGCCATAACTAATCTACAGCCATTACTGCAACAAAATAATATGATAGTGCCACTTTGCAAAAAACCAAGTGACAATAAACATCACTGTTATTCTTTAACAGACAATAAAACTTTTAGTTACAAGTTATTAAATATTGAAAGGTCATCTCAGTATCTTATTCAGAGCTTCAATTTATTTATTTATTATTATTTTTTTTTTTTGGGGACTTAAACTTATAGTATAATCATATAAAGGAATGTATAGTAAAATTGAATAGCTGCTTAACTACACATAGAGATGCAAAACCTCTCCGTAAAATCATTTATTCATCCTCTCTGTCTATGGAATACACATCCAAATGAGTACAAGAGTTGTGTTTTCATTTGTTTTAAATTAGGTTAATTGGAATAACAACAGCATGAAATCAATTATCGTTGTACAAATTGGGCAAACAGGTGAGCAAAATGCATACCTCTCCACTATCCTTGTTCTGGCCTGATGGCTTGGTCTGCAAAGGTAATATGCGTTTCAGGATATAAATTAAAATAAAATAAAAGACTAATAAGCAGAAAAGAGCCAAAGGCTAATATGCATGTAAAGTAAACTTGATGCAAGAACGTGAAATGGCATGCGCATTTATACAACTCCAATAAGCGCATTTCAGATCTATCTTGAATTTTATAAAGGTATTATCTAGGCATATTCTAATGGAAATATGGTATGAAAATATGGACTAGAACGGCCTCCCAAGTGCCTAGATAGCTTTTCCAGTCATCACCTACATATTCCAAAAAAATAAATAGAAATGGGCTTTCTTAATTGAAAAAGTGATGCATTAATTCAAGAAAGTAGTTGCTCTTTGCATCTAATTGAAAGAATCACCGAGCCTGAAATGGTTACAAACCGAAAAATAAATTTAGCAACAAGCAAGGCGAGAAAGGGAAAAACAACCTGCTTCTTTGATGCCTCCAAAGATTTTTCTTCCATGGGCTCTTCAACACTACCAGTTTCAGTCTTCTTATTTTTAGAATCCCTGGGCTTGAGATGTTGCATTGATGGTCGGAGCTGCACAACTGAATGAATAGGATTGAGGTGCAACTGTATGAGACAAAAGCGAGGAGTTGTAAGAGCTTAAAATCATTCAGACTTGCAAAGGAACCTTAACAGCGTATATTGCTGTACAAATAGAATTAGAAATGGAAAGGAAATGAGTACTCAGAGATCATAGAACCTGCCTTATTTCCTCTTAAAACCCCAACGGCATACCCACTTGTGCGAGGTGGTTTCCATGATGAAGCAAGAGTCTACCAAGATATTACAAACAAAAAGATGAAGCATATTTTTTTTCTCCTTTAATAAAGAATGAGTAACATAACTAATTCTCAGAATTACATAAAAAGATAGTACAGAAAACAATAGTGCGTAAGTATTGTCAGAAATTTGTTTNGAAGCATCATTGCTTCATGGACTCCAATGCATATAATAGTCAGACAATATAAATGCACATAACAAGAGGGGGAATTCGAACCTGCTTCATTATCTGAACTCTAGGATCAGCATCACGATCATAGTTATCCGAATCAAAATTAACTGCCAAATCAATTTCAAATTCTGAACTTGCTGGCTTCACCCTTACCTGAAGAATCAACCACAAACTCTCATAATCTCTAAATTGTCAATTGGCCAAATGCAGATTCTTTTATCATGAGACAAAAACACCAAATATCTTTTAATAATGCATACCTCTTCACATCTGTCCTCCAATTCATATGGCCGCCACACTGGCCTCAATGGATATTGCAACACATACAACTACAAGTACAAAAATAAACATTAATAGCAGGCAAATTTATTCAAAATTAAAATTAAAATGGCCTCCTCACTGAATAATAAAAACCTAAGTTTGATTACCCTAGTATAAGGATCAATAGAAGGAGCGAAATACACATCAATTTCTCGAACAATGTCATCTGGACCTTCACCTTCCGCTTCGTCTGTTTCCATTAGATCATCGATCATCTTTTCTTTAATTTCATTTTCATTTTCTTCGTCCGGCTTCACTTCAACTTCAAAATCCATTTCCACCTCGTTTTTCTCATATTCGGGTCTGGCATCGGCTTCCTCCTTGGGTTCCTCCTTTTTAGTAGAGACAGTGGGTTTGAACTTGGAACCCTTGGGCGCGAACCGGGCAGGTCGAGATGGGCCCTGCGTCGGGACAACCAACAGGTCGTCCAGGTCCATGTCCGCCATCAATTGTTTCTCGAATTTTTTACTAAGAGGATGACAAAAGAGAATTTACTATTTAGTTTTGCAACTAATATTATGTGAACTGAGTTTTCGAACTATCTGTGTGAGTCTCAGTAGTTTTTCCCCCACCGCTATCGGTGGTAGCAGCCGTCGCCGGTGAAGGGAGATTAGGGTTCAGATTTTTAGGGTTCAATTACTTTTAGAGCAATCGGGGTTTTGAGG